ATTCAATGTAGGGTTTCTTTTAGTGAACTTAAATATGTATTACAAATGGAATTATTTAACATAATTAAAATGTCAGGTGTTAACAATTCAAGCACTTATTTTATGAGTGAGTTGGCCTCCAGTGGTGGAGATTATGGTAAGGAATAATCAGAGTCACGGATTATGGTGAAGAAATCAGTTTTTCTTTAAAAAGCAAAATTGTGGACCACAATTAAAAATAACAAAAAACATTATGTGGACCAAACAAAACATACGTGCCCTTTGACATCCTTAGGGAAAAAGTTCTTGCTTCAGAGCAAAAAGGGTCAGGTGGAGCTTTTCAAGTAGATGATATATTTTCCTCTAATGGGTGAGAATTCCCTCTCCACAGCAGAGATTTGAGGCTCCTTTTTCTGAAAGGAAGCATTTGCCCCTGGTCTCTGGGAGGGTTTTTAAATAGTGTGCCTTCCTCCATAATTTCGTACACCACACAATTTTATATATGCCTCCCCTCAACTATAGTGTCTTTTCCAGGACTTTACTTTCTTACAACTAATCTCAAAGGAATAAGAAATGTATGTGGGGGCCGGCCCCGTGGCTTAGCGGTTAAGTGCGCGCGCTCTGCTACTGGCAGCCCGGGTTCGGATCCTGGGCGCACACCAACCCACCGCTTCTCCAGCCATGCTGAGGCCGCGTCCCACATACAGCAACTAGAAGGATGTGCAACTATGACATACAACTATCTACTGGGGCTTTGGGAAAAAAAAAGGGGAGGAGAATTGGCAATAGATGTTAGCTCAGAGCCGGTCTTCCTCAGCAAAAAGAGGAGGATTAGCATGCATGTTAGCTCAGGGCTGATCTTCCTCACCAAAAAGAGAAAAAAAAGAAATGTATGTGATGGAATTATTTCATTATAATGACTGATAGCTCCTTCTAGTAGAAAACTTGTGGCTTTGTTGCACAGCAGAAAATTGAAAGAATGTGGAGTCAGAAGAGTTGAGTTACTTTCCAGCTTTTGTATTTTAGTCTAGGCCTTTTACCACTCTGAGCCTCAGTATGTGTAACTGTGAAATACCCTGCATATTTCAGAGCACTATCATGAGGCTGAAATATGAGATATATGAAAGTACTCTAAAATGTAATATTTTCGGTGAAGAATTTTAGGTTAAGGGTTGAGATTT